CCCCAGCCCCCCCTGCCCACATCTTGCTCCTGGCCGACTCCGACTGTGGCTCTGCAGAGAGAGAAGACGTTGGGGGGTCAGATGGGGGGCCAGGCTCAGCCTCAGCCTCCACCCCTCTTTCCCCCCACCAAGACCCAGATGACAAAGAAAAAGGGGATTAGAGCTGGTGCATGTGAGGATGGACTTAAGTTCATGTCTTACCCCACTGGACGGTGACGGGCTCCGGGAAGCTGGCGTGCTGCACCTGGCAGGCGTAGACGTCTCCCCGCTCCGGCTGGGCCTCCAGCATCACCGCCATCTGGAAGGTCCAGTCCCCGTTCCGGATCAGGTCCGTGGTGAACACTCGGGCCTCGTCTTCCTCCTTCCCGTTTCGGAACCAAGTGATTTCAATTTGGGAGGGCCAGAATCCGGCCACGTTGCAAATCAGCAAAGTGTGGTGAGAGGAGGAATCATAGCTGGAGGGGGCGATTTTCACCTTGGGCTGAACTGGAGGTATGGAAGAAGAAGGTGTAAGAGGGGTCAGGAAGAAATGGAGGTAGAAGGGGAAGGGGGTGTAAACCCTCCAAGGGAAGAAGACTTTCGCACATCACCTGCCCTAGGCTGTCAGTTATGTTCACATAAAGCAAGCCCCTCAACAGAGCATGTAACAACATCAGAAACAGGGGCAATACGATTCCAGAAATGTAAAACCACATGTTAGGGGCATAAACAGAAAAAGACTTTCAGAAAGGTTATTGTACGTTTTTCAGGCTGTATGGCCATGTTCTGAGGGTTTTTCTTCCTAACATTTTGCCATCCTCTGTGGCCAGCATCTTCAAAGGACAGGAGTCAGAACTCTGCCTGTGCTCTTGTGCAGTTTGTGGGATAGTTGAGTACTGTATATATTTTATTTATTTATTTACAAGATTTTTTTTAAAGCCGCGCCATTACCAGTGGTCTCTGAGCGGTGTACAGCAATGGTAAAACTTTAAAAAATATTAAAACCATTAAAATAGGCAATATCCTATATTAAAAACAGTCATTAAAACATTAATAAATCCTGCTACTCATATGGCCAGCTGAAGAATACTATTTAATTAAAATGCTGGCTAAACAGAAAAGTCTTTGCCTGTCCCGGAAAAGCCAAAAGTGTTGGAGCCAGGTGGATCTCTATAGGGAGCTTTTGTCCTTTTCAGGTTATTGGGTTATTATGGTGATCAGCATGTTTTTTCGTTGTGGGTGTATTGTTGTGATAAGGGGGAGAGAGGATCTGTCACTGTGAGTGATGGGCGTCATTAGCTGGTCTTTTTTGTGCAGTGATCACTGGTCCTTGTGGCTGGATAGAGTTTGTTGACCTTTTGCAGGCTGTATTTTTCAGTGATGGGAGCCAGGCTTTGTTGAGTTTTAGATTGTCTTCTTTTTTATTGAACCTCTGCTGATGTTTGTGGATTTCAATGACTTCCGTATGCAGTCTAACATAATGATTGCTGGTGTTGCCAGTAGTTTTGTGTTTTGAAATAGAATTTCATGTCCAGCTTGTTTCAGGGCATGTTCAGCTACTGCCGATTTTTTCAGTTGTTTTAGTCTGCAGTGTCTCTCATGTTCTTTGATTCCAGTGTGGATGTGGTATTTTGTGGTTCCAGTATATACCTGGCCACAACTGCAAGGTATCCAGTATACTCCTGCAGTGGTGAGGGGGACACTTTTGTCCTTTGCTGACCGTAACATTTGTTGTATTTTTGTGGTGGGCCTAAATACTGTTTGTAGGTTGTGTTTTTCAAAGTTTCCCCATGCGGTCTGTGACCCCTTTGATGTATGGCAGAAATCTTTTATTTATAGGTGGCTGTTTTTCCTCTTCAGTTTAGTGTTGTTTTCTTGGTTTGATGGCTCTTGTGATTTCATTCTTTTGCTGTGGGTGGTGGTTGGTGTTTTTGTGTAGGTGGGTGGGTTTTCTGTAGACCTTGTGTCACAATAGGAGGTCAGTTTCTGATTTCTTTTTCCATGGTGAATTGTACATTTGGGTGGATGCTACTGAGATGGTTTAGAAATGGTTTAGATAGTTGGGGCACAAGGTCTACAGAAAACTCACCCACACAAACCAGTACCTACAAAAAAACTCCAACCACCAAAAGCAGCCACGACAAAAAAAGAGGCATAATCAAAACACTGGTAGACCGTGCAAATCGGAACTGTGAAGCTCAATTTCTCAGCACTGAACACAACCATCTGAATTGGGCCCTACACGCCTCTCCACATCACGAAAGGTGTCAGTGCCTGAAAGCCAGGGGAAAAACAACTAAGAAAGGTGCACCCAAGTCCGGCCGGGTCATTTGGCACCCTCAGGGAGACCAGGCCCCAGAAGCACCCATCCTCTGCTCCTTCCGATTGGAAACTAAAGAGGGACACAGGAGAAAAGGAAGCCTCTGGTTGAATCTAGCCAATGCCAACCGGGGGGGGGGGCATCGCCTGAGGTTGTTCCTCCGGCCACAGCCGGGCAGGGCTTCTGCTTTCTTCCAGTGGGGTCAGTCTGTCCTGGCAGAGCCATGCGCCCCTCCTGTCACGACCCCTCCAGGACTTACCCTGACGGGAGCGGGCGAAGGGCTCGAAGATCGCGTAGTTGTGCCGGCAGAAGCCCTCCACGTCCGCCCTCCTGTCCTCCAGGAGGTCCTTCCGGGTGTTCCAGTCCCGGGCTATGGGCTCCCCGAGCGGCGTGACGGCCTCGAACTCCCCGCGGTCGCTGTCGAAGCGGACGAACTCCTGCCGGTCGTAAATGTCCCGAAAGATGTAGCGTATCCGCTCCGTCCCATTCAGGTAGAGGCAGTCGAACTTCGACTGGTACAAGAAAT